GTGTTGCTGGTGTTGTTGGTGATGTTGTTGTCGCTACAATTTGCAGGGCCTTGCCTTGCTTCAAACTGTTGGGGAACTACAATTTGCAGGGTTTTGCGTTGTGTCAAGCTACTGGGGGCTTCCAATTTGTAGGGTATGGTTTTGCCCCAAGCTATTGGGAGTGCAATTTCGAAATTCGTGTCTTGTGTCAAGTTATTGGGGAAGTACAATTTGCAGGGTTTGCTTTGTGTCCAGCTATTGGGGAATTGCATTCTGCAGGTTTTTGCGTTGTGTCTAGCGTTGGGGAGTTCCAACTCGCAGGGTATCGTTTGCCTCAAGCTATTGGGGTATTGCAATCTCGAGGCTGCATTTGCACGGTTGTGTGTTGCACCACGCTATTGGGGGATTACTTGTCAAGCTATTGGGGAATTACAACTTGCAGGGTTTTGCTTCGCGTCAAGCTATTGTGGAATGATAATTGCTTTGCATTTCCCCAAGCTATTGCCGCATTACAATTTTCGAGTCTCTTGTGTTGTGTCAAGCTATTGGGGAATTCCAATTTGCAGGGTGTTGCTTTGCCTCAGCCTGTTGGGGAATTACAATTTGCATGGTCCTGTTTTGCCCCAAGCTATTGGGGGATTACAATCACAACTGGCACGGGCGATTCCGGTTCGTCATATTTCTTAGACACGCGAAATCAGTTTTCGATTGCGATTCATCATGTTTACATCTTAAGCGCGCCCCTTCATGCAGCGATTCCGGTTCATCTCCTTTGGTGTCTTAAACACCCCCCATCATGTGGCGAGTCCATCTCATCATATTTCTTAAACACGCCCCCTCATTTGGCGATCCAGGTTCATCTTTCATCTTAAACACGCCCTTTCCTGTGGCGGTTTCGTTTCATCATGTATCTTCAACCTGCCCCCTCCTATGGCGCTTTCCGTTCATCATTTTTTTACGCGCTCCATATGTGGCGCTTCCAGTTCACCATATATCTTAAACAGGCCCCCTTCCCCTATTTCGCGAGACCGGTTCATACATATATCTTAAACACAGCCCCTCATCACATATCTTGAACACGCCCCTTCATTTGCCAATTCCGATTCTGCACTTTCGCTAAACTGCTAAGCCCGCCGCTAACTTTTAACAGACCCGGGGCCGCTGCAGGGCGAAAAACGACAGCGGGGGGTTTGGGCGGGGCTCAGCCCGCCCCGTTTGCAACCACAATGTCTGTAGCTGGGGTCATGTTGAAGCGAACTTGCACGGCGTAGACTGGGCGGAGGGCTGACAAAGCAGCGCAAAACACTGATAGGGAGCCGGTTATGTGCGAAGCCTGGGGAGGCCTTTTCATGTGTGGAACCAGCATGGTTCGTGCGAAAACTTAAAACCGAGAGCGGGCACATATGACTTTGCATTCCGTGAACACACGGAATAAACACACGTGTACTTAACAGGCACTCCAGATAGATTGTGTTGTTGTTGCTGCAATTGTTGAGCATATATCTCAAACACGCCAAATCATTTGTACATCTTAAACATGCCCCTCACTTATCATGTGGCGATGTCCATCATACTTCTTAAACACGCCCTTTCATGCGATGTGGCGATTTGGGTTCATCAGATATCGTAAACACACATACCCCGCGATTCAGGTTTATCATAAATCTTAAACACGCCTCCTCTTTTTGCGAGGTTCATCACATATCTTAAACATGCCCCTCATCATATGTCTTAAGCACGCCCCCTCAATTGGCTATTAATATTCATCATATATCTCATTTGCTAAACCCACCCCCACGTTTTTACGGGCCGCAGCCTGTGGCTCGCGACCCGGGCGACCCGCGGCAAGGCTGAAAAAAGACCGGAGGAAGTTGGGGAGCCGAAGGACCAGAGGACCAGAGACCAGAGGACCAGAGGACCAGGGGCCTTGGCCAACCCTGCCAAGGGCCCCAGACAAGAGCCCAACGTTAGGAAAAACCCCGAACAACAGTTTTAGGCAAAACCGTTCTTGCACTTTACAGACCCTACTCTACTCACCTACTACGAAACTTACTCTTGTTGCACTACCACGCAGAACAAGCGCTGTTTAGGATACAACCTTGGTACAACAGCCATGGCTATTTGGGGTATACTTGATGTGTTCCACAATTGCTTCTGAAACCACGTCATGCAACATCATTATTCGACGCCGTAACATTAATGTTTTTCATCGCCGGCTTCTTGACTGGCTTCTACGTGTTTGCAGCACGCTTACGCATAGTACTCTCACCTTTGGCCTTACCATATATAATGGATGGGTGTGACCCAACATTTCTCTGCTGATCTTTCAGACAGCATCAAGTCGAAATGTCTGTATCGGGCACCAGCACATGTAGCTGCAAAAGCTTGACGCAAGCCGTCCATGCGGAAGACGACTGCCTGCGACCCTTCGAGTGCCAGCTTCATGCCGTAATACCACTCAACCTTGGCTCCCTGTGACCATACATGCCTGTATCCGGGCAAACGGATGTTCTTTGATTTTGGCAATGAAGAAATCAGGCTTTGAACGTGCACAGATGTCTTTTGAAATCTTGCGTCTGCCTCCACAAGCCATACCCATCCAACTTCAGAATGCCGTTGGTCAGATCGATAATGCTGTAGTAACTGGTAGCATCTCAGGATCAGAATATGTTCTTAAACTATTTGTCTGATCCAAACACAAAACAGTATAAAACAAAAAATACGAAAAAATGAATGTACTTGAGACTCTTTGTGCGATGTGGCCAACCTCGTAAACGATCGGTGTCGTACAGAAACTGCACGGTCTCGCTGGGCTGCAACTTCTCGCCCATGTGCTCATCAACACCACATCGATATTCACATACCACATGGGCTTTGTTGGCGAGACTAGCCGGATCAACATGGTTCGGCACCCATCGCGCTAGCGTTTTGCAAATGAATTCGTCAGTACAGTACTGCACCACCAGGATCGATCGCAGGAGCATTTGTGCCATGCCGTGTTGGCTATCTCGCCGATAGCTGATATGTATAAATGCAGTGTTGTTTAGAATATTTTCTAAAATCAATACCTAGCTTGACCTACGAATAATCTCACTCCACAGTTCATTTATGCAATGGGAGCGTGTATAATAGTGTTGTTTACCCTTGCATGTTTCTACATGTGGTCGATGTGTCTGTTTCTACATTATACACCAAATAAGGTTGAGAGTTTCCAAGTCCTGCAGGTTTGCAAATCATGAGATTTAATTGTTTTTCAAACCTAAACCCTAAACCGTAAACCCAAGTTTTCCAAATTTTTGCAAACTGGATTTACGAATTCAAAAACGGTTTAAAAATATTTACAAAAATATTACAAAACCTTTACCCAAGAAAAATTACGAAAAAATGCATACAATTTCGTAAATTATTTGTATTTTTTGTAGTTTTTTGTAAACATTTTTGTAAATCCTCGACAAATACCAGGTATTTGCAAAATCTGGCATTGCGGGTGGCCCGGAGAGGAGCCGCAAGTTTGGCCGGCCTCTTTGGATTTTTGTGTACTTTTTTGTAAATTTAAAAACACAGAATTGTAAATTCGTAAATGCATTTCGAAAGTTGTTTGAAAATCTGTTGAAAATTAATTCATTTCCTGTATTATAGCATCCTCCAGAGTCGGACACCTCAAAAAATAAGGGCTAACACAACATGTCTTGCATTTGAGACGTAGTCCTGCCGAAAGAACACATATCCTTCAACCCGCCCTTTTTTCACGAAAGCAAGAGCAAAAGACAGAAGGAGCTAAATCCCATAAGGGCGCTGCTTATGAGGTTCCTGATTGCTAACAAGTGCAGGTGTGCCGCCACGACCGTCGCTGCATCATCCTGGTCCAACTCATCCTGGCCCACCCTCACTGAGACCATCTGACCCGGCCCGACCGGCGTCAGGTCCATAGTCACTTCCACAAAAGGCGCTTTCTTGTGGTGCGGAAGAGACCTCGATGTGCTTGATTTCGAAGGCAAGTATATCAGGCGGCGCCGAACAACCACGACGACCACGACGATGATGATCAGACAACGCAAGTCGGAAGCACTGGCATTGATCACCAGAGACAGAGACACGGAGAAAGATTCAGTAGGGCAGTGAAAAATGGGCGCCTGTCTCAACTAAAGGTTAAGGTTCCGGGTTTCGGCACTCGAGCTTGGGGTTTACGGCTGGGTAGTATAGATGCCTTATAAGTAATGAACCATATAATTCCGTATTCTAATGTTAAAGCCCTTATATCATAGAACCCTTATAGTTACCTTTGAACTCAAAACGAAAGCTATTCACATTCTTACGGCCCCTATATTTGGCAACTTTTGCCCTGATGAGGTCCCTCTTCGCCATCTTGCTGTGCCTTGGCGGTATGCCCAATGGGTCCTCATAAACCCTAAACCCTAAACCGCTGTTATAAACCCTAAACCCTCAATCACTGTTATAAACCCTAAACCCTATAACCACTGTTACGGGGGATAATTTCCCGAATCAGTATAACAGCTCCTACCATAGAAACCCTTCTCGAAGTTGGATTCAGGGTCCTGTGTAGGAACCTTGTTTATAAGGGTGCCGTACTATTTTGAGGCCTTCATCTTGAGAGTTACTCATATAGTCAGAGGTATAAGCGGGACTAGTTTAATGACAAGGGTCATTATGAAGACTCTTTTTCCTTCAGGATTACTATATCCTTCAGGATCAATTAGGTTAATTTTTGCCCCCAGCACCCTACAACAGCTTATAGCCTCTGCACCCCCGAAGTCTGTTAGGGTCACCCACGCTGAGCTCTTGAAATAGCCACCTCACCCCTCGTGGCAACCCAGAAAAGGTTTAGGGGTTTCGGGGTCTAGGGTTTTAGGGTTAGGGTTTAGGATTTTTGCTTTTAGTGTTTAGGGTTTAAAGTTTGGGGTTTTTGGGGCTAGGTGTTCTATCAGGGGCTTTCAGGGTTTAGGGGGGCCCTCGACCCAAATTTGATCCCTTTCAAGGAGACCCCTCGTCGAAGCCATACATCAACAGAGATGGAGAGAGATACAGAGAGGGAGAGGTGTTCCGCGTGAATCCGCGTGAAACGGGAGGGACGCAGGGTCCTTGCCCGCAGACTTCATCGCATTCATGACGATGCCATCGGCAAGGCTCCTGGTGCACGGAAGCTAAGTAGCCGGATTATCCTTCAGTCTGACATAATCATGTACGCTATGGGCAACCTGGTAAACTGTAAGCTGAACAAGAACTGTGCCATGCTTGGCGATCACGCTCTGTTGCTGCAACTCAAAAACCGAAGAGTGTCTGCTCTATGGCCTCATTCGATCTTCGATTTCTCAACATGCATCTGCGTGTCCCTGTTTGACTCCGCAAGCTGTGACGTGGCAGTAACGGTGTACTGCAGGCGCCTGTTTGTCACGCTCCGGAGGCCCTCCACTTTTAAAGCCATCTGCGCATCCACATCCGTAGCAAACTTAGCCTCTGGGGACAGTGCATCGCAAGCACAGGCAAGTGTGGATTCGAGAGTGACGCCTGCAGGAGCCCAGGTGACCCTGGCTTGCAAGGCACCGTGTTTTTCCAGATCAGCGCCCCGGCCCCGAGGCACAGGGCCACAGCAAGAGCTGACACCTTCACCTGAGACGTCGAGACTCACGTCTCTCTTCAGAACACCGCGTGGCCTGTTGCTGACACGGCACTCGATGGCCTATGGGCCGGTCTGGCTGCGCTTCTTCGAGCCGCAGTGGCCGGACCTCCCGGCGCAAGATCGCAGCTTTGTGCCAGCATGGCTGGGGCTTCTGCGGCCTCCTCCTCATCGCTGAGCGTCATCCCTGCAGATGCAGAAGAGAGGGCCACAAAGGAGTAAACTGAGTAAACCTGGATTCTCCTCGCCTGCCCTCGAGCTTCAGTTGTGAAGGCCAAGGCGCGGTTCACAGCTGAGCCACGTTCACAGCTGCGGAAACGGTTCACGCAGATGCTTTGCACAACCAGCTATCTTGTACAGGAGTTGGAATCTGCCATGAGGAGAGGACTTCAGGCTGCAGGTACATGCGAGTGAGCCAGCACTCAGTAGAAGCTCTCGCTCACTGCTTTTGAGTTGCACCGTCGGCAGCAGATGCAAGCACAGAAGGTCCACTAGTTAGACGTTTCGACAAGGCGAAGGCTGCCTGCCCTGGCTTGTAAGGCCACAGGAGCACATGCTCCGAATGGAACGTCCGCCGGCTCAGGAACTCCATAAATAAAGGTGTTGGCACAACGTCCAAACCTTGACTGCAAGAAAAGAGCTTCGCTGGCGCCAAGCAAGCAGATTGTCATCAACTTTTGGCAGTGCACGTGGCCCTTCGATGCAATAGTTCCAGGCAAGGCCCCACCGTCCAAGATGGCTAGATGTACGACAGATAGATGCTGAACGCAGATAGATAGCTAGATAGGTAGACAATGGAAGATAGACAGACACACAGACAGACAGACAGACAGACAGACAGACAGACAGACAGACAGGCAGGCAGGCAGGCAGGCAGGCAGGCAGGCAGGCAGGCAGGCAGGCAGGCAGGCAGGCAGGCAGGCAGATAGATACA